CAAAACCTTGTCATGCAAACCCAATACACCAAAGTATCTCACAAACATTTTATCAAAATCCACTACAAAATTCGTCATGGATAAATGTTTTTATGCCAGAACTTCTGAAAGGAGAAAAAGTTACGAGTGGACCATATACTATTCTGGAAGCAAATCCTCTCCTAGCTCTTCATCAGCAAAGTCATCTTCCTCAGCTCTTTTTCTTGCTGCAGTTTTTGGTCTTTCTGCTTGTGGGCCAAGTGGATCTATGTAGGAGGCATCTAGGGTTTAAAGAAATAAATACATTTGAAACAGTTACCTGGAAGTAATTTTACCCTTGTTTCAAACATACACAGTCAAACACAAGAGTGGATTTTAGCATTACACATCTGTAAGGTGTCTTTGAAATGCTGACCAGAAAGAGCATATGAACACTGAAGGAGATCAAAGATACCACATTTGGGAAGTGAGGCATGGCACAAGAGCAAAGTACCAGAGTGACAGATGCTCCCCACCCCCCCTTTAAAATAAATTTCTCTTTATTTTATTACAGTTGTTAAGTGAGAAAAAGACTTTGGAAAAGTGAATGAAACAGGAAGACTGTTGAGTTGGTTGAAGGGAGGGCATTTTATGAAGTACCACATTCCACATGGATTAGGGATTTTAAACTGCTTTGAAAATTCAATCTTAGTGAAGAACTTAAGACTGCAGAACCACAAGAACTGACTAAAGGATGCAGCAGACATATATCAAAAGTACTAAATATTTACATAGGACACATTTCTTAATATTTATGATTACATTATAGTGATCTCCAAACAATGAAGCTAAAGCCATTCTTCACATTTATTTCATGAGGAAAATGTTTTCCTAATTGTTTAATTATACATGCTCTTTCAAGAACTTCATTTTCCATCTTCCCTCTCTTTGAGGGCCACAAAAGTAGGAAGGTACTTGCCTATTTCTTTACTGCCGCTACTTTCGTAGGGTTCACTTGTTCCAGGCAAAGCTTTGAGTTTGGCACTCAGTCTCTCCCCTTTGGTACCACCACTATCTGGGGGGAGCGGGGGGTGGGGGGAAGAAAAAAAAGAAAGTTTAAGACCAGTAACATGCTGCTATGTTTTGTGAAATCATGACAGAAGACTAACATAAATTCAGCTACTATCTGTCAAACAAGATTTGGATGAAACCATCTTTTCATGGTGGATACAGTACTCACTTGTAACAGTGGTCATTAGAACACAACGGACACTGTGTCCACACATGTGTGTTCTAATTTTTTTTTTTTAAATATATACAGCCTTATTTACTTTGGAGTAAACACATTAAAATATTTCTGCTTCAAATGCTGACATTTCAGTTGCTTATAAATTACAGTCACATTTTGGAGTTAAAATAAGCATGATAAAGTATATGGACATTTCATATGTCTGTGTGCTTACTAATATATTAGTATGATCCACCTGTTGAATGCTCTCAAGGTTAAATACAACACTAACTTTGCTTTTAATTAGAAGACTATATTTGGCACGTGCTGTCTGCATGGCAAACAGGCTCAGCTCATGTATACGGACCATCGTGGCCCTGCATCTTGTTGTAAACACTGTGCTGGCAGCTCAGTTTGCAGCAGGGCCCCAAGGAATGTGTCAGCTCTGAGGGCTGCCTCGTGCCCAGACAACATCAGATTAACATTCTCTTGCCACAGCAGTATTCCAGACACTTTAAATATTCTGTTCACCTCTGAATCTCTTTTTCACATTCATGGCAAGCTTTCAATCTTGTCTGCTACAACAAATTTTTATGCATTTTTTTTTCTCCTAGGAGAAAATGTTTCATGTTTGTCTTGGTATATTTACAAGGCAGGACATGCCATGCTGCCAAATACAAACATGCTCATTTACAACACAAAACAATGCTGTTATTAAAAGTCTTCCATCTATAAGGAGGAAAAATGGGTTTCATTCAGCAAGCATTAATTACAAATCTGGACGTGGAGACACATTTCCATTGTCTTATTTACTACAAATGTTCTTTTTATAAATATTGTTGCTATTTTAAAAAACCAAAAATCTTCCACAAAGATGAAAAACCTTTATTTCTCTATAAATACTACTGCAAACTTCAGTTTACTCAGCCCTGAATTGGAAGACAATGTCTCTGTTCCAAGATCGATCCAATATATACAGTCACATGTCAAACAGTTAATATGTTTACAAGACACAGATTGCTGAAACTTCAAAACAAAGAAAACTATTTTAATGTACATTGACCTCCCTTGGATCAATTCTCATTGACAAGTTCCATGGAAGAAATGAATGCTTACGAAGGATTTGAAGAAACGGAAAGAAATCAATGGGTTTGATTGTGGGGGGCTCAACCAAAGGGCTGTGAAATTACAAAAGGGTCACCTCTTGATTTCAGTGGGCTTTGGACAGGCCTGCGCAACAAGGAGGTGAATGCTGAGCTTCAAAGATGGTGTGGATGAAAATATTCTGAGAACAGTTTAGAGGAGAATACAAAATGTTTAACAGGGAAAGAAAGAGCGGGATAGGAGTAGGCAGAGAGTCTTGTGCAATGGCAAACAAGTAATTCACAAAATAATGCATAAAGTTGGAAAAAGCTGTAAGGAGATGCAAAGACAGGAATGATACATCAGAAATTACACTAAGGGAAGACTGAAGTAGTCAAAGGAACTCCATAAGGTTTAACTGGTTGGTTCCAGAAAGGAAGAACTGAGTGTAATGAAAATAAAAGAGGAAGAAGGTAGCATATCAAAGCTTTTCAACTGTGAAGGAGGAAAACACATTAATGACACTACCAGAGGAAGATAAAAGATTTTATATTAACTAAAAGAAGAAAAAAAAGAATGGCAGACAAACCAAAACAGCTGGGATAAACATAATACCCACAAGTTACCTGTACACCTTACTGCCCTAAAACAAACAATTGCAAACAGAAACTTTCCTGGACATCCTAGGACCTAGGATGAATCCTAGGATGGATTAGGGCTACATCCAAGAAGAGAATGAAGCAGTAACTCCAAAATTTGAAGCCAAATTTTCTCTCATTTCTTTCCCCATCTAGTGGATGTCCAACCCTTCAAGTATCTAAATCTCACCAACTGCCCCCCCTGCAGCTTTGAAGTTCCTTAAGCACTTATTGCTGTGATTGAGTTTCCCAAAATGGTCATCCTGAGCAGCAAGATGCCTGCAGAATGTTCAGGATGTGACCTTGGTGCCTAAGTTCCCCATTCTGTTTTTAAGCCAATACAGTAAATGGAATTGTGAGTGCTGTTACAGTGAGCAAATGTAGCTGTTCACACAAATGTGGCTTTTCAGGCTTCAGACTTGGTTCAGTTGCCCAAACACATTATTTACTGTGTTTAATGAACTGAACCAACTCACTAAAGGGTTAGATTAATGCTAAAGGTAGTGCAAGGGTAGCAGCAAGAACACATGATCAGGAATGAGAAAGAAAAGAAGCGTTGAGGGGGGCTGGACAGTTCTTTCCAGAAGCAGCAAGTTATTTGATCAATACATGGAATCATAGAATCTTTGGGTTGGAAGTGACATTTAAAAGTCATCTAAGTCCAACCCCCCTGCAAGGAACAGGGACATCTTCAACTCATTCAGGCTGTGCAGAGCCCCGTCCAACCTGACCTTGAATGCTTACAGGGATGGGGCATCTACCACCTCTCTGGGCAACCTGGGCCAGGGTTTCACCACCCTCATTGTCAAAAATTTCTTCCTTCTGTCTAGTCTAAATCTGCCCTCTTTTAGTTTAAAAACATTACCCCTTTGTCTTATCACAACAGGCCCTTTTTGCCCTGCATTGCATCCCCATCCACATACTGTCACCTGATAGAAGGCTGTGCTGGAGCACGTTACTGATACATTTAAAATGAGCCTAATGAAAACTTTTTCTCACGTGGATTGGCAAGGTAATGCAGGTCCCCTTACCTGTATACGACCATGTCTACAGCAAGAGTGAAGGGAAGGTTAACATCTCTTCTAGTAGCAGCCCACAATTAGTTTAAGCTAATATGCAAAACCACATCAAGTCTCCATGGACTGCATTGTGCTCTGAGCATACCTAAAAACGTGGAAGAGCAGCATCTTTCATTTTAAAGTTCATCTGGAAGAGACTAAGAGGTGATTGACACCATCTACCTTACACAGAGATGTCAGACAGCACCTCAGGAAGCGAGGTCTGGCTTCAATGCCTGCCTTGACCCAAGGGAGTTCAAACCCACAGCTCCATCTTTCAGGAGGAATGTCCTAGTTGTTGACCCATTTGGGGTAAGGCTTTTCTTGACACCCTGCCATGGGACACAGGATTTGGCTGCCAATATGGCAGCTATTAAAAACTGCTGACCATATAACATGATCTGCCAGAAGTTTAAATCTTGCTTTTTGTGTTTCTATTTGCAGATAAATCATCTATATGTGTATATTCAGTACACATACATAATTTGGCCAAAGATTTTATACACATTCCAGCTTTTGGATTATGGGAATGAAGCTAACTTTCTCTAAAGTAACACACAGAAAAAACCCAAATGTAGCATTGGGACAAAGGATAATAATAAAAACGCTGGATGAAAGGCTTTTTTGTAGAGTTTTTCTCTACTAATAGTACAGCTTTGAGTATTAACATCTGTCTGATTGCACTTGCAATCAAAGGACTACAGGTAGACATTTCTCAAACTGTAAATGAATTCTATCTGCATTACTCTAGTAACTGTACAAACACATGCTCCTAATTAAAGTTTTTGAATAATGGAAGACCAATGCTGAATTAAATTGCTCTCTGTATCCAAGAAAACCTTCACTGCAATTAATACATTCTCATTATTTATTCACTTATTGCACTTCTATTTAAAAGGTAAGTTATTACTGTCGCTAACATGGCAGCCAGTCCCAGTGTGCTCACTCTGGGTTGGTAACGTGGACAGGTACGCATAAACTGGCTGCAGGAACATGGCTCCAAATTTCAGTTGAAAAAGCAACAGGAACTGATTGAGTACAAGCTGGTCAATATATTTTCAAAATATATATAAATATATTTACTCTGTAAAATTATTATACTTGAGACTTGGATTATCATGCTGACATTATCTTCTCAGTCTGTGTACAATAGCATTAACTGTAAGCTATGCATAAGCTATGCATATGAAGACATAAACAATATACTCTACATGCTGATACATGATTACAGTGCATTCCTTCCTCTGATCTGTTTAAAATTCATGCCCATAATGTTACATTTATGAAATTTAATTAAATTATTTTATTATATGTTCTGTTAATTCAGATTTCTTCAACTTCCATACAAAAACTAACTTGAACTCATTCACCCACATACGATTAAAAAAAACAACAATCAAAGTATAAAACTTATTTTTTAGAAAATGGTTAATTTTATATGGCAGAATAATGAATAAAGCAACATTCTGCAAAATTAATCCTTGTTCAGAATCATCCTATTTTAAGCAGTGATATCTAGCAAAAAAGATTCTAAGCCTTTGTACATGTTTTTGTACTTCCTACTTGGCAAGTATATCACTTCAATCCATAAAACCTATGACTTTACATTAATTTTTTAAAGGACTCTCACTAGTTGCAGTTACAGTGATGAGACTACTGCATCACAAATTCCTTCAGTGTCATGAAGGACATAAAGCAGAATTTTTAGTACCATTTTACTCATCAGGAAAAAGATATCAAAGTGTAAGGTGGTTTGATAATCTACCTCCTCCATAAAACATTTGTGTAAAAGCGTACAGTGGACTAACACTTTTAAATACTGCAGATGCTTCAATAAATCCAGAATGTGTTTAAATGCAGCTCTATGCATCTTTCATACATGGGATGAAGACACCGTCTTTGGAGAAGAGTGGGCTTTGGTTTGACCAAAGAGAACAGTAAGTTCAGCATCGCAGGCAGAATATTACATTAAAACTGAGAAATGGCATGGGAATTTTTATGCAATTTTTAACTCCCCTGCAGTTCACTTTGATTTGAAATTCTGTTGAATGAAAATTGTTTCTGGTGTGTCAGTTAAGCTAACTCCTTAGGCAAATTCAGATGCAGAAAACAGATTAAGATGTTCTCTTCCCTCAAATATTTTCCCTGTGTGTTTATAAAAAGAAAGGGTTGGGGGTTTTTTGTACACACAACCCATGGAACCATCCTACAATGATTTGTAATTAATGAGGCATCAACAGGCACACAAAGTCTAGAAAATATACGTGATCATGAAGTCTTGGCTGCAGCATAACAGGAAAATCTCTTGCCTCAATTACAGTGAAGATTATTTGGGCTGCTTATTGTCCTAACATTTGTAATGTGGCTTGCACATTATATGAGGAGATCCCTATGTGCTGGTAAAGGGTGTTTGAATTTGGGATGTTTGTTTGGGTTGGACAAACCCATTTTGCCACTGACATCATCACAGGTGAAATGAAAAAGGGAAAAGATACCTAAAGTACTCTTGTGTGGTTTCCTTCCCAAATTCATCTGGACAGGCTCAAGTAACAAGGAGAATGCAACGGACTCAGCCTTTCATCCTCTGAATTCAACACTGCTTCTTTGGGCTCCTGTCCGAGACTGCATGGCTCCTCTCATCCAGTACACAACTCCCCTCTCATCCAGCACAAAATTCCTCATTCAGAGAGCAGAGCAAATGCAGAGACCAAGTAAACACTTCTATGGTAATGTATTCCTCAAAGTCACACTTCCCCTTATCTATGAAAGGCCTTATGCTATTGAAGAGTAAAAATCTCTTAAGGTAGTAAAAACCACCATGTCCTAACTTCCAAATTCTGGATGTTAGTACCACATCTCTTCAAAACACAAAAAAGTGAGTATGAAAACAAGAAAAGCTTATTGAAAAGGAAATCTTTGAGAACTCAGATGTACTGTTAGGTCCCTTCAGGTTTTTAGGAGGTTTTGGTTTTGTTTTTTTTTTTAATAAAAAAGAAGAATTTTAAGGGAGTATACTGATGTCACCTCCTTCCAACATGAACCAAACAGATTGAAAAGCAAATCTGATATTCATGGGGAGAAGAAAATTTTCACTTTTTATAACAAGAGTGAACAAACATGTTCAATTCTGGGTAGGCATTTTAGATTTAATTCTTATCTTTCTTACAAGGCAAGAACAGACTTTAACTGACACTGATATAGATGTCAGGTTTCTTGGTCTCCATTTTTCCATTCTGCCTACTATCCATGCGCACATTAGTCATATTCAAATTATGCTTCGGTGCATAATTATGTTTTCGTGCACCTTCTGTTTTAATTTATATTGGCAAAGTAGTAGGTGTCCTGTTAAATACAAACCCTGCTGACTTAATTCTCTTTCCTCTTAGCTTCCTCTTTAAAGGCAATTTTAGATAATATTTGCTAAAACAAGGAAGCCTGAATCATTAATACTCCTTATACAAATAACTATATAGCGACAAAAGACTTGGGGAAGGGGGGGGGAATCTGTTAGGAATACCAGCAAGTATGGGGACGGTGAGCCGGTAAGAGGAAGGAAATAAAACATGCATCATACCTAAAATATTTGGAATGCATACATACTTCATTTAGCTAGTAAGTACTTTAATTTAGCTAGTAAGTGCTAAACTAAGGAGGATTTCATGCTTCACGGGGTTCAGTAATGATGGCAAATCCCTCATACAGTATAGGAAAATGATCCCTTTTGGTCCTGGCAGCACCGCTGGAAAAGATTAATCTTAAAATGTATACAAATGCTTCTTTTTTTAATTTTGAAGCCATTAATTCATCAAAAGTGTACTAAGATTCTGAAATAAAATAACCCATGTTTACATTTCATATGTGTCTTCACAGAGGCCCTATATGGAAATTTCCTACACTGCAAAATACAGACTCATAACCCAAGAGAATAATGCCACACATTATTCTTTCAGTGGACAAAGTAATGTTTGGGTCTTTGGGTTTCTCTCAGTCATCCTCAGCAAAAGGCAGGCAAACTACAACATAGTCCTTACCATCTGTTGCTGTGAGTGTGCAGCTTCCTCACTGATAAGGTTCCCCAGAGTCAACATTACTAGTTAAAAAATGTATAATGCCTTTGACTCCTTCTAAAAATATATATAAGTAGTACATCTCACCACAACTTTTAATTAGGAATCCCAGCAGAAAGTTAACTCCAGGCTCAATACAGGACCTTCTTTGTACCTCTGCTTGTTTGCCAAGTCATTTCCAGAAAGGTTGGATCTTTGGCACTTGAATTTGTGTAGTGGAGACTTCTCAAACATGCTGTTATGCAGACTTGTTCCCAAACTCTGTTTTTTCCCACTCTTTCATGAATTTGAGATAACATCTTGAGTACTAATCTAAGAATTATTGACAGGACAAATTCTAGGTCAGTTCCGATCCCGCTTACCCTCTCATCCTTTTCACGCTAGCATCCTAACTGTCTGCATTTGCTTTTTTCCCATTACTCTGGGAATGGGGGGAAAGAGTAATGCCTTGGAATTACTAGAACTTGCAGTCAAAAGTTTCTCATACATTCAACTCTGAAGGCAAAGGGATTTTTTAAAATTTTTTAATTAAAAAAAAAAAAGGCAACTTTCCACAAATATTTCTGTCTTTAAAAGAAGTATTGACAAACTGGTAGTTTGGGGGATTAATGTTGCCTTTGCATCTTTCCAGCTTGGTTGTTATTTATATCCTCTTTTGGTAAATTACTGACTCATTCTCTCCCGATAGCATGCCCCTTTTTCACTAATGAGGGTAGGGATAATTATGAAATATAGCTGTAAGAAGAGAGACCCTTTGTGCCATTTGCCTGTACGTCTGATGCAATGTTTTGCACAGCTGTAAATACCCTTGCCTGCTACCAATGCTGATCTTCATTTCTACTTATTGTAAGCCAAAGGGGATCTCCACTTTATGACAGAAAACAGGGATTGATGCCATCTCACACTGCTGTTTTGCTGGCACCTCTAGCAGGCTGCCTCATCTTAAGGCTTATGTAGCAAAAGAGAGTCCAGAAATGTTTCCATTCCTCTCTGTTACTAAAATAAGGAATTTCACCCCAAAAATTACTTTATCCCAAGGCTCAGAAAAGGTAAAATTCAATCCTAGGTGAATGGTGTTTTTTCTACATATCAAGAAATGATTTAAAGGCTTCTCTAGTGAAACTACTGAGTTGGAAAAGGAATGAGATTTCTCTCTCAAGCATCCAACACTCATTCTTAACCCCCAGAGAACCCAGGAGAGCTCTTCATAAATGTAACAGCATTCTAAGGTCATCTTAAGATTACACTAGTAAGTTCCATGACTTTTCACGACCCTACAGAATTGGGTAAATGTAGTAAAGCATCTGCTATGTAGGTGGAGAAATAAAATTACCAAATAAGAACAAAAAAACCCCATAAATTATTTCTTTGTAAAAAGAAGGGAAGAGAGGCAAGAATTTATAGGTGGTATCTTTTGCTGAGACCCACCACTATTAATATAAACTAAACGCAGAATACAAAGAAACCATTTCCTGTTTGGGTCAAAATGGATTTTTTTCCAGGTGGCTGAAAGTAGTCTGAAGTCTGCTAGTTTCCCAAGAGCAGCAGCAGGGAACAGTAAGGTTTAATGTTACTAACATCTCATGGACTTAATAATGGGAGGGAAAAATCTTTAGCTCTGCAATATGCAGACAACCTAGTGCAGAAAACACAAAGCAGGCTAGTTTCCAGACTTACACTGCTAGAGTTTTACATTTATGAAAGTCAGCATTGTAAATCTATAGGAGCAGAAAGACTTAGCAGTCAGAGAGGAAGCTTTCCTCTGTGGAAGACTCTAATACTTCAACTCTGCTGTATTGCAAAAAGGGGAAGGAGGAGCTCAAAGATACTACAGGTGTCTTCTCCTCACTACGGAGTTGGCTGCACAAAATAGCCTCTTGAACTTGTAACAAACCCCTAATGTAATAGACTAGATGGTGGGCACAAAATTCCCTTTCCTCCATTTTAAATAAAGACACAATGAATCCCTGTTTTTCATGGCTTACGTGTTCTGTTTTGTTATAATAAATGATTCCTCATAGTAAATATTCCAAAATTAATGGGGTAGAAATGCTCAAGTTCCAAGTTAATTGGATAAAAATGTCCAAGTCCACAGTATTGAAAACAAGTAGAAATTTAGCTTTAGGAATACTCTGAGATCTGTATATAAACCACAAATCGATGCTACTATTCCAGTTGAGGTTTCATACTGCAGTAAGATAATCAGAAAATATGAAACAAAACTTGTGAAGTGCTTGCATATTACTCAATGCATATTTGTGCGCATCTCAGAATGTAAGGAGGTATTACAAACACTTTAGGAACAACGATTTTCTTTAGGATCCTGACAAATCTGATACTTAAGCAGAGGCATTAAGTACTTACCACCACCAGCATTTCCTTCTCTGCGGCTACGTGCACTGCCATCTCTGCCAGATTTAATGCGCTGGAGAACAGTGAAAAATGTTAGAAAAGAACAGAACAAAAACCCCATTTAGTAATATATATTAGAGATAATTATTGAAAACTCAGCTTATTAATAAAACAGTAGAGGAACAGTAAACTAGGCTTACTCTACTGTAACTGATAAACCTTGTTTTTCTCAATGCCCAAAATTGTCCTTAAAATCAGTGTTAAATACAATGTTTACATAAAACAAGAGTTCTATGAAATTAAAACAGAATATCTCAATAAATTATTTTTCTTCAGAAAAAATTTATACAGTGAAGGTGCACAAAAGTGGTTCAGATGTACCTTTGCAAAGTACAGCTGAAAAAACAGGCAACATAGCCCTTCTTACACGAGTTCAAAGTAGCCTCTGCCTATTAACCTCTTGTAAATCCCAAGGGGGGAAAGTAGGGAAAAATCTATAAAAAGAACTATTCACCCCATAGATCTTAAATTTTGAATACTTGGCACAGCACTGTACTTTACAGCAAAATTTAATCTGCTGTTGAGTGTTAAACGCGAGATAAAGGTGAATGTAAATACTTTAAAAGCTGTGTTTAAAAAGTCAGCGCTCTTGCACTGAGAAAGGTACTGTAAACATCTTCCAGCTGTGTTTTTTTTAGTGTTACTTGAAAACTTGAACAGTTTATCAAAGCAGTACCTCTGTATCACACTGCAGACTTGGCTTCTCCTGGCAAAACACCAGATTTCTCATGCGTACATCTTGTCAATTACAAGAAGGTGCATCTCAGTGAGGGACGTTTTGATGGGAAGGTACAAATATTTGGTGTTTAAAGCACTCAGCTGTTTATCTAAAGTTATCTCTGCACCTTATTTCAAAACATGAATTCAGGATCTGATTAAAACACATGTGGCACACTACCTAACCATGTATTCAGGTCAATTACTGTAGCTTCTTCACTCATTTTTCACCAGAAGAATATCATGGAGTCTGGAAAAGTTGGAATGACATAGAAGAAGTGAAAGAACTTTCAAGATTCATGCCAACAGAAAAAGGAAGAACCCTTAAATCAAAACTCACGGGAGTGAGACAGAAAAGCAGCTGGCCTAGCATGAAATCAGGAATGGTCTTGGAATAATCCAGTCTGGGACCAGAATTTCTCATACTTTTTATTTATTTTGGGAAATCCTCAATCCTAAAGTATGTTCTCTGAATTCTGGATTAAATATCCTCTTCACAGTCCAGCGAAGTAGCATATATCGGTCCTTCAGGAAGCGTGTTCAGACTCTCCCAATGTTGAATGACTGACAACAAGTCTGCCAGTGGAAGCTCAGCTTCTGTCTGCCAGAGAGTCCTAATATAATAGCACCCTCACAGCATTCACATCCTAGGATTTTACTCCCAAAATATAATACAAGTACTACAGAATAAGCATATGACCAATTCCTGTAAGGTTCCAAGTGAGTGGTTTATAAGTCATCCCATACTAAAAGCAGACATTTAAAATAGGTCCAGTGATTTCCACCCTAAAAATGCCTATTTCTCTCTCATGACTGCAAAAGAAATTTAGGATGATTAGTCCAGATGTAGATGCCTGAAGGTAAAGGCAATAAGTCCCCCCCCAGTGTTTGCACCTATCATCACTGCTTCACACCACACCCCATCAGTCCCTCATTTTCAGTCATTAAGCTCACTTAACGGAAATAGGAATGTGTGTATACATCAGTGCCAAGAAGGTTGTGTGAACTTTTACACTATTACCTGTCTTTTTTAAACTGAAACATGAAAAAGGAAGATAAATGCAGTTTAAAAAAAAAAAAAGAAAAAATAAAAAAACAACATATGAAGGCTACAGTAAAAATCCAATGCTGTGAGAGGCAGGGAGAAAAATGTCTACAGGGAATGAACCCCACAGATGTTCCCAGATTCTTGGCTGGAATTATTTAACAACTTGTCCATATTTAAGAACAGAGTGAAATAAGTACTCCAGAATATTTATTTTGGTATAAACTCCATGTGGATATACTTATTCTGGAAAAACAATGCCAGAATAGCAAATTTTGATCAATTTCTACAGGAAGACAAAGTCTGTGTGCAGACTTTGAAATGTAGGTATTTTACACTAGCATTTATCTTTTCTTTACTGGGTGCAACCGAGAAATCACAGGTTAGTCTGAAATTGGGAGCAGGAATTGAACTGTATCTGGTATTGCTAACTGAAACCAGTGTTCCAGTTGGAAACTTAGGTGGTGAAATATTAAAATTTGATCATTTTAGAACTTGAAAGTATAGTTTATGACTACATGCTCATGGATGACAGAAGGAATTTCTTAGGACAAAAATACCTAGTAATTTCCAAAGCCAGATGGCAGACATAAGACTAAAAAAATCACACACACACAAACCAACCAAGCAAACAAACAAAAAAAAATCCCCAAACCCAAAACCAGGGGATGGGATAATACCGACAGCAAAAAGGAACTGCAAGGCTATTGTTTGCAAGACAGCACTGATGTTGAGATTCTGTCACGGAAAGATACTCAACTTCTAATATAGGACGGTAGCATACTAAATCACAGCGCGTTCTATAACATCTTTTTTTTTTTTCCTTAGTGTCTTTACTCATTTACATCTACAATGGTGCTGAGTTTTAAGAAAACTGAGTCAGTGGGTTCCTTGAGGGACAGAAGAAGTTGTTCCCTTCCTTGAGGAGACACTGAATTTGGGAAATTTCAGAGTGTGGCAGACGAGAGCCAGAAGAAGGAGATGGGAGCATGTCCCCCATGCAAGGAGCTGCAGCCTGTCAATACTTCAACAGGACATAAGAAAGATGGGGACAGACTTTCTACCAAAGCCTGCAGTGACGGGAGAAGCGGTAAGTTCTGTAACTTTTTTGTAATTGGTTGGAGGTTTGAAACATTTTTTGTAATGAGTTGGGGTTTTTCAGCCTGGAGGAGAGAAGCTTGGAGAATATATGAAGGGGGCTTATAAGAAAGATGGGGACAGACTTTCTACCAAGGCCTGTAGTGACAGGACAAAGGGCAATGGTTTTAAACTAAAAGAGGGTAGATTCAGGTTGGACATAAGAAGAAAAAATTTGTGATGAGGGTGGTGAGACACTGGAACAGGTTGCCCAGGGAAGCTGTGGATGCTGCATAGTTAGAAATGTTCAAGATCAGGTTGGATGGGACGTTGTGCGACCTCATCCAGTGGAAGATGTCCCTGCCCATGGCAGGGAGTTAGACTAGATGATCTTTAAGAGTCCCTTCCAACCCAAACCATTCTACAATTCTGCTTTCCAAGGTTAGTTTTGTGATGGGACAGTCACCAGACTCTTAAACAGGAATACTTAAATGTGATACAGAAAATGAGCTTTCCATGTCATGGCTGAATCATGACCACTATTAAAGTCTGAACAGTCCAAAACAACTATGCAATAACTTGTGCTACCATGCATCCATATTGGCTTCCATTGACATCTCTGTCATTCAGGTTCTACTCAATGAAGTCCCTTAACACAACGTAGTCAGAATGAAAAAACAGACATAATTTAAACACAATTTCTGTGTTACTGAAAATCTTAAATAACTTAGATTATTTCATCTTTTAAATATTTTAGCAGTAGCTTTTTCCCCACAAGAAAGTACAGAAATGTTTTCAGGAAAGTGCAAGCTTCCAACATGAAATAAACAGGAAGAAATGTGACAACTTTTTTTAACATATTCAAACATTAATTTTCTTAAATGAAAAAAGTGTTTTCTTTAGAATCCTCAACGTTTGTAGATCTATGGTACACAACTAACATCTTCAGTGTAAAAAATGCTGGAATTATATGCAAGGAAATAGATAACCTCTCCATCTCCAGGGACTTCTCTCTTACCAGCTATAAAATAATCCAGTTTTAACTGGTTTAATCTCTGAGCTTTCCTGAGTAAAGCACTGAGATATCGGTAGCTATTGTAAAGAAATATGTATTTCACTGACATTGAACTGATACCCCCTAGAAACTAAGCAAAGCCTGTTTAACACACTTCAGAGAGATGTTTTGAGTTTTGCAGAATAGGAACATTATATCTGGTCATCTGTTTTGCTTACTGATACCATTATGGGTGAGGCATGGAGGAATATTAGCCCCACTATATTTGTCGTCTTTCTTTTGTCAGGTTTCCCAAGTGCTTTAAACTTTACATTTACTGAAAATACACACCAATATACTTCAACTAGCCCTCCAAAGTGAGCTTGTAGCCTAAGTTTGGAATCCTTTGATCGGCGTTTCCCTTTATGAGTTTCATTTTTAAAATGTCCTAGTGTACACGTGCATACTCAGACTCTCTGAAATGGAAGTAAAAGTGAAGTAACTCAGGATGCATTTATGCATTATCCGACATCAAAAGGGAGCCAGTAAGTGTTACTAGGAGCACAGTAAATTAGGTAAGACTTAACATGTCCTAAAGTGACTAAGTAGCTTTGAGGCAATTCACTGGATAGGAAGAGCAAGCTCAAATACCTTGCAGCTCAACAGCAGAGATAATACTTTCCAAACAATAAGCTGATTTTAATTTTAAAGTCTTACTTCATCACAGGAATAGCAAGAAAATGATGCAAGCACATGCACACACACACACTCACTCTGAAGAGAAGACAAGTTGTGATCTCATACCTTTCACAGCCTGTAGCTTTTCCACGGAAATGTTTTTTCAGTTTAAAAATTGGCACCAACATGAATGATTTACATCTACCTATGTAATCTGTCAATGTTGCAGCTTTGTATGCAGCAAAAAGGAGTTCTACTACATGGACATATTCTTAGGCTCCCCTTCTCTCCCTGTAGTTGCATTATTACTTGGCTCATAAATACACTTTACACAGTCTGGCAACTAAGTAGGAAAGACAACATTCCAGAGACATTGAATTATGTGGGTGGCTCCAGCATTCCCATTACATCCACATAACCCATCCTTCACTAATATTTAAAAATCACAGAAAATCCAGTGCTCAAAACCATTCAGGCAGATATAAGGTTGACCAGTAATTTAAAATTAAAAACCTGAAACCGCAAAACACAAGCCTCTCTAAACCAGGAAGTTAATACACATTTTATCTTGAAGTATCATAAACACTATTTTAGCTTCATCTACATATATGTAATCACAGAAAGAAACAAGCTTACCTGCTCCCTCATTTCTTTTAATTTTTCCACTTTCTTGAGCTTTGTCATATATTCCTGGACTTCTTTCAGCCCCATATCTGTGCAGAGACGAACTAAAAATCGGAGGCCTAATTGAAAGCAAAACATTGTTACAAAAAGGCTTAGAAGCTGGTCAAACTACGAGTGCATCCTAAAACAACTGGACATACCGAATGGCAAACAATGCAAATAACTGGGAATACAAGGTGACTCCAGTCCAGTATCACTATGCAAGTTGTGGTATTTTGCAAATAATTCAAAATTTTCTGTGATGCAGTGTCTATATCCACAAACAGTACAAACACTATTTATATATGTGGAAGGCACCTGACACACTAACTCATCTGGCTCAGAACTCTTGACACTTGCAAAATATTTTGGACACTGGAAAACATAATAATGATATTAAGTTAAGTTACTGAGAAGCCACTAACTCCTGCCTCTGTTTTGTAATTTATAGAAACTATACAAGTTCAGAAAAGTATTAGCATTCTAAATACTCTACCCCTCTGAAATATGTGTGACCAATATGAACATGACATTTTGCTTATAACTTTGAGGAGTCACAGTATTGAATTTCTCTTGCACAACAGAGCTGTAGGATTCCTCTTTGAAAAAGCAGTATGCTTGTTAAAGTGGAACGATACAATTTTGTTTTAAAATACAGTGAATGTTCTTCCCACACAGCAGTTAGAAGCGTAGGATTGTTGGCAACAACCTCGTATTTTGGAATTAGTGAGGCACAGTGCGGGATTTAAGATGATGTTTTCACAACCAGTGTCAACCCGTTTTCTACAGGGTTTTTTCATTTAGAGTACAGGTGTGACTGATTCTGCAAAAAGTCGCACTCTTCAAAATTATGTTTCCTGAAGTTTAGTTTGAAATTCTCCATCGATTTTCCAGAGACTGGTTGACCAACTATTTTGAAGAAGCCAACAACAAAATCTCACCCTCTAAATCTTTTGGAAGGCCTGGCTTTAATAAGACTTAACAATAAGATCTTCTCATATCTAGAAACTTAAAGCAGGAATTTCAACTAGCAGGGACTAGAAGTAAAAATACATATATTTTATCATAAGAAATATTAAATAAGTAACATACTTATAAAATTTAGGAAGTATGTATGAGAAAGAACTCAACCAATCCGCTACAGTTAAAACTTTATTTTCACGTCTCTTCAGTGTTACCCTAATATTTAAGTCAGGCTTTAGTGTTGTCACAGAAAACATGCAGTATTAGCATGCATAAAATTGTTAGTTAATGAAAATATTTTCCTATGAAAAACACTTACATCATGTGATTACTAACACATATATTCAATGCAACAGTTTCCTTTGATAGCTGTACTACTCAATGAAGCAACTTACATTCAACATTGTCTGGGAACTTTCTGTGAATGACTTTGTATTTCTCTAGAGCTTTCTGGTAGTTACCTGCAAATAAGACAAACATCTCCCATCCACATACCCAAATGTAAAAAAGAACACCTGATGAGAAACTGATACAGTTGAACATCACTTAACCGTTTTAGTTTGAGTACGTGATTTAATATTATGAGACCAAATTTCACAAAACCGAACTTAACGTTCTTTAATTACTGATAGTAAAAATTAAAAGCATCTAAAAACTGTCCAAATTACTCTGTAAATAACAGAATTGATGAAAAGGAGTTTCCTGATTTTTGCCCTTTTTTTGACCTACCTCTAGAATCCCATTGTTCTATGACACATCGACAAGACAAGCTGTATCAAGCACACTGGGGCTTACCTGAGGCTGCAAATGCATGGACTGGTCAAATAGAAATGTGTAACAGCTGATCTTTGCCTACCCTCCCTTCCATCACAATACTGATTTGCACAGATCTGGTAGCGAAGTAATTATTCTTTAAGACTCCTGCCTTCCATTTTGGCTCATCTTGATTATTATGGAAAGGACCATGTGAATCTAAAACCTCAAATCCATAAAATATCTGACAAAAAAGTTTGTTGAGCTGTCACTATTTTTATTTTCCTAGTGCAAGGTACAGATCAAACTATCCTGCTATGTGTTAACACGATAAGCTGGGAATTTTGCCAATGAATCATAAATGATCTAAAAAGCAGCCAACACCATTGTGTTTCTTTGCTGAGAAAACAGTTAATCTGTTTAGTTTTGGGTGGTGCTGACTGTTCTTAATTCATCAACTTCCCCAGGTCCTGTTCCTTTTCTCACTGTTGTATTAAGCAACTGAGCAGAGTGAGAAAATGCACTTACTTATTATGGAAATCTGTTCTGTAAAGTTCTAAAGAAGCATGAAGGAGAGCACTAACATGGAACAGCAAGAAAAAAAGAGAGTATCATTTACATCAAGTGTCTTGAATGCTTTTTATGTGATGAAAACACCTAGAAAGAACAGTCTCTTTCCACTTTGCTTATTGGTGTGTTATATTCCCAGTAAGAAAATACAGCACAATAAGACTGTCTTTTGTTTGTGTAAGGCAGATACTATTTTAATATAGAAAAATAATTCCCATTTCGTTTCAACAGCAGGTATAAAGCAACTTCAAAATCTAGTTACTTATGTTAGATCAGATTGTAGTACAATTACATTAAAAAAACCTTCCTATCAGAAAATTTATACTGTAGTATCTTCTTTTTTTACTTATTTAACAGCACAAGGAAGGTTTCATGCATAAGACAGTGCAGGCACACATCCTGGACTTAAAGAAAAGTCATGTTTTACTACATACACACAGAAAATTCATAACAAAATAATATGTAACTGAATTTTCAAACAAACTTTAGCACCAGTGTTCTCATCAGGCAGAAAAGATCAAAAGAAAAAAAAAATCTAAAGATCAAAACAAATCATAGAATGGTTTGAATTGGTAGGGACTGCTAAAGATCACCTTGTCCAACCCCCTGCCCTGCACAGGGACATCTTCCACTGGATCAGGCTGCTCAAGCCCCATCCAACCTGATCTTGAACATTTCTAACCATGCGGCATCCACAGCTTCCCTGGGCAACCTGTTCTAGTGTCTCACCACCCTCATCACAAATTTTTTCTTCTTATGTCCAACTTGAATCTACCCTCTTTTAGTTTAAAACCATTGCCCTTTGTCCTGTCACTACAGGCCTTGGTAGATAGTCTGTCCCGCTCTTTCTTATAAGCCCCCTTCATATATTCTCCAAGCTTCTCTCCTCCAGGCTGAAAAACCCCAACTCGTTACAAAAAATGTTTCAAACCTCCAACCAATTACAAAAAAGTTACAGAACTTACCGCTTCTCCTGTAGCAACTGGCAACCATCAGCTGCCACTTCACTTGTGTTGGACTGCATGTAAGTAAAATAAAATTATGTATACTGCCAAACAATGAATAAGCAAAATAATCTGGTAAAGCATTGGTAAAGACCTACTATTAAACTACTCTTAAAATTTTTCACCTAGCATATTGCCTTCCTAGGAAGAATTCAGTTTGCTCAGTTCACACACAGTGCATCATGCTCCTTGTGTTCAGGCCTTGATGTCACTCATTTGTAGTCCTATGTTACAGTCTTTCTCCTGGTCATGATTCTGTGCACCAGACACAATTAGTACACCCCACACGTGAACCACTAATCTTTGTCTGAAGTACAGAACCATGCCACGGGGGAGAACAAAATGCTACACTGTATTCTGAGGGAGTCTCACCAGTAGGGTCCCAAGCACGCCCAAGGGATCCCTGCCAGGAAGCAGACTCCCCACGTACCACTTTGAACTCTGGCTTCTCCTCTGTGTCATCACCTCGATGCCCTAGCTGCCACCTTTCCTTCTCTTTGTAGCACACAATGGTGACAGATGTCAAAGAAAATATTTGAGATGTTTGAGCATGTACAACAAAACTGTTGGACTCTTCTCTCATTCTTATCAAGATAATGTGAAAATTAGCAAGTTTTCATGTCAACAGTGTAAGGATGCTCTATAAGCCAAAGCACTTTTCACACGTGGCTTGCAATTCAACAGTAACATATCCCAAAGGCACTGTATGCTAATATTTTCGGAATAGCTTTGTAGTTATTCTCTTCAATTTTTCTCTCCAGTCACAGTACAGGCCATTTTTAACTCTAAATAATCTGTTTGCCTGGTAGTTACTAAACAAGCTTATGAAGGGCAGCTGCTTCACCTTTTTTAGCTTCAGCTGAATATATCTCCTGTAAACAATAAAGGCAGCCAAGCAGACACCATAATAAAGTTTATTATGTGGTTCAATATGAAAATTCTAGAGAGAATAAATTGTCAGCAGTCAGAATTAGCTGCATAACTTTTAAACGATAGATTTGTGCATGCTGTTTCTCAATTCATTGTCTAACATGTTATCTCAGAACACAATTTAAAATGCAGTTATTGTCATTAAAACACTGAATACACTGAACAATGTTAAACTAAAAAGTGCTGGTCACAGTTCAAATAAAGTTATAATTTTAAAATGTAAATTTATTTACAATTAGTAGCAATTTATAACCCAACATTAATAATCACCAATTAGCATTGACTCTAATAGACTCTATTTTCAATATCAAATAAATAAACACTGAAAGATGTATGTCCTATTATCTAATATTAACAATCTCATCCCACAGAGAAATAATTTCTCTGTGTTAGAGAGATTACAAACACAAATAATAACAAAGAATTTTGTATGCTGATTATTCATAAGTACTTTAAAATCCACATACTTCATGTTTCATTCACGGACTGAGTGCAACATGAAGCATAAAATATTTAGATCTTTGCCAAAACAAGATTATGAAATAATTCCTTTTAGTTTCAGCTGTTTCTTTCCAAAGTTTCTAAGAAGGCCGTGAATGCCAGCATATGCAATCTCATAGCTTGACTAAAATACAATTTTTTTTAAGGTGGCTAGTATTTATACTGAAAAGAACACTGGAAAACCTGTGAACTGGGATTTCTGTGAGCTGTCTTCTGTGTATTTTCATCTAATCTACATCTCTATTTCTTTATAATTATACTACAATTTGGGTGAAGTCTATGTTTTTCTATATATTTTTGTTTCAATTTTTAAACCTTATTTAAACCTTGGATTTTCTCTTCTATAATTAATGTCTACTCTAACTCAAGCCCTTTCAAGAGCAGAATTAGTATTTTTTTTACTGAACTTCTAAAAACCTATTCGCAGTATAATCTTTCCTTGAATAATACCATACAAGTTTTTGTTCATATGCTGTCTTGTTCATGCATATCATTCAGATTCACAGAACAAAAAGAATGTCAAATTTTAGATCATCACAAGAGAAGCAATAACTGAGCTTTGCTTAGCCTGATTTTTGATAGGTTTCCCCAAAAAGAGACCATATGCACATCTTTCCAGAATTCTGTTTGAACTTTGGACTGCAGATTTAAATTTGATCAAACTTCTGTTTATTAACCATTTGTCTGGTAAACTCCCTTTCGGATCTAAAATAAAATATATGGCCTATATACTTTCTTTAGTGCATCACATTCTGCTAATAGACAATTTCAGCAAATAAGTGGCTGAACTAAATATATTTCAAATATCTCTATCAGGATCTATCTGATTTGTCAACTTACTTTCACTAACCATTGGTAATTCTGCACTGCACATTTTTGCTTACTTCTATGCCTTATTTGTAAGGGCCTTTTTATGGGAGTAGAAGTTATGTGAAAAATGGAAATGCAGTAAAACTGCTAAAAGATGCATTTAGCTAAACCATCAAGTCCTCACCACATGATAAAATAATAGAATGGAAATATTTCACATAAAGTCATACAGAAAGAGGTCTTGGTGGCTTAGGAGGGCTGATCCCCACTTCATAGCTATGTATAATGGCAGAGGATAGAGAAAAGAGTTCCTAATACTAGCTTGGGCCCAATGGAGGATCTTTCTTAACACTGAAATTGCACAGTAAGAGCAAAAACGCACTGTAAATGAACAGACAGTTGAGACAATTAAATAATATCCCAAATATTCTTAACTGTGATATTTGCTTAAAGTATTAAAGTTAGCCAACTAATTTATCTCTAGCTATACTTACGGATATCTAATCACAAAATATTTGAGTAGGCATAAAATAATAATTACTTACAGGATAAGTGCTGCTCTTTCAAAATACTCAATGGCTTTTTCACAAAACTGGGTATCAATGTAATAGGCTCCAAGCCATTCAATGACCTCAATGTTTGAAGGGAAATAGCGGTATGACTGACAAAATAGGAAAGGTGAAAGAAACACAATTTTAGTGATAAACAACATCTTTATGTTACTTCTGGAATATCTTACTCAAATGTTTAATTCTCCAGATGCCAAAAACATGCAATATATGAATGGAAGTAGTGTGCTATAATAAGGGGAGGCAGGGGGGCAAAAAAAGGCATGCCAAGTTTTCTAATTACAGAATACTTTTTAGAAGTTACCTGAGATGAGCCTGTCACATTTTCCAGCTAGCTGTATTTCAAATATTATTTTAAATAGTTTGCAACAGCAAAAAATGTTTACTTAGATCACAGCTACTTGTAAGTTATCTTAAATGTTAAACAATGCTAACTAATAGGTGTACAATTCCACACTCAAATCTGCTGGAAAACTCACCTAAAAGCATTTTCTATGAAATACATATGTACGTAAAAAACATCTTCTGCTTTTTAGAAACTCCCACTGAAATAGGCAGCAAAATTATCATCAAGCATAACTCCACTTGTATAGAGATCACGACACAGACTTTGGTCATCCTCGCTTTACACAGATAAAAAAACCTCACAGATTGCAGCAAAGCAACTTCCTGTCTTCTTCTGGTTTAGAAACGGGAATAACCTCTACAAACTACAGACTATAGCTGGTTTGAAATGAGAGAGGATGCCTATCTTTAGGCAACCGTGTATACATAACGTGTAGCTGTACTATTAAAAAAATATATAAACCTACATACATAAACACACATATATCTCCATATCCATTATATAGATATAGCTTCCAATTGATGCAGTCATGTTACACACCTTTAAAAATATATTTTTGTATTTTTTATTTTATCTCAGACTATATTTTAAATTAAAATTATTATGGGTCAATGTAAACAATGACCATATGAAAAATGAAAGTTTGATGTCAACCACCATGTGGCAACACAGACTACGTGTTTCCTTAGGATCTGAATACAAAAACTAGATTTTAACTTTCTCTCTCGCCCTCAAAATATTTTTTACTGGATGACATTCGTTTAAAAAAGTTTAAATGAATCAATTGTTAATTTGATATAGGAACCTATCACAAAATGTTCTTTAATTATGAGAAAGTGCATTGGAAAAGCAATAAAGAACAAGTACCTCATAGTAATAATGAAAAGCTTGGGATTTATCACCTTCATTATCATATAATTTCCCTAGCTCTGAAAGTACATGTGGATCAGTTGGTACCACACTGATCAGCTGCAGGAGCCACTCTATGGCTTTTTTTGGGTCTTTATTGGGATCTTCCATGATCTCATATCTGAGTTTTCTTTAGTCAAGGACTGAATGATATTTTGATTTACTCAGAATTCCTACTACTTTACATAATATAATCCATATGCTGGACAGATATGCCAGTCACTGTAGTGTGGAGATCCTTTGGGATTTTTTTTTACACATTATTTTCATAATTGCATTTGTATCAGAAAGTATTTTTGTTATGCTGAAGAAAGAGGAATATTCAGAGGCTTTGACTGCTTTTTCACCTTAAAAAGACTTTGGGCTCAACAGAACATTTGGCTTGATTCTCCTCTCTCTCTGTCACCGATTTTACTTTGACTTCCTCGTAAGAATGAAGTGTGAGAACCAGGCAATGTATCTGTAGCCTTTAAAAGTTGGTTAGTTTTTCATAATACATCATTTTCACAGAGTCACAGAATCATTAAGGTTGGTAAAGACCTTTAAGATCAAGTCCAACCATCAACCCAACGTGCTCCCTAAATCATGTCCCAAAGTGCCACGACCACACGTTTTTTGAACACTTCCAGTGATGGTGACTCTACCACCTCCCTGGGCAGCCCATTCCAACGCTTGACCACTCTCTCAGTAAAGAAATTCTTCCTAATATCTAGTTTAAACCTCCCCTGGTGCAACTCGAGGCCATTTCCTCTCATCCTATCACTAGTTACTTGGGAGAAGAGACCAACATCCACCTCACCAAAACCCGCTTTCAGGTAGTTGTAGGGAGCGAGCAGGTCTTCCCTCAGCCTCCTCTTCTCCAGACTGAACCACCCCAGCTCCCTCAGCTGCTCCTCAGAAGACTTGTGCTCTAGACCCTTCACCAGCTTCGCTGCCCTTCTCTGGACACTCTCCAGCAACTCAACATCTTTCTTGTGGTGACGGGCCCAAAACTGAACACAGGATTCAAGACACCTACAGAGACAAAATGTTTCCCATAAATACTTGAGAACTTACACTCTTCATCCTTCAGCTAACATCCTCCTCTTTTCCCACTGCTCCTTTTCATCTGCCTAGTCTTAAACCTAGAAAAGTAGTAAAATGACAAAAGAGTAACTATTCCTTCAGTTGTGTCTTCCTTTGTCCTAAAGTAAGTGATTAGGTAAAACTGCTGTCCTGAAGAACAGACTATTGCCTGCAGTGAGATTTTGTGCTGTATGCCTAAGCAGCACAGCATAGACAGTGTAGAATTCTGGTCCAGAGAACCGAGGCAGCTTTAGCTGTAATTAGGCCTGCAGCGTGCCCTCCCCTCCTCAGTCACCCCTGAGCAGCAGAACGGCTCAGACCTCTGCAGCAATGTGACCTGGAGCTACTGCACAACACATTATTCCAGTTTCTGCTGCACCCTAACTTTCATGGAAAAAGCTTGTGAGCATTGGTGGAAAGCAGTTTTACATAGCAGTGGAACAGAGAAATTCTCCCCCAGATGGGACTCGGGAGTTGTAGAGACATTTACGCTGTTGTAAAGGGGCTATGCAAGGAATGGGCATCACAGCCCTTTTGTATTTTTGGAGGTACTTATTTTACTAACTAAAATATATTTTTATTACCTTCACTATTCTCAAAAGTGTAGTTACAGTAACTGGAATCAGTTCTGCCTTGGGGAAGATTTTATTACAGTTTGAACATCTTCAAAAGCATTTTTAAAGAAATTTGTAGTGTAGAATATCACTGGCGATGTGCAAAGCCACCCCCTCCAAGCCCCGCCCCCCCCAGCTTTCAATCTGTTGAGCTTTTGCAGTGCTAGGAGACAATTATTTTCTTACACATATGCTAACTAATCTGAAAACAGCTTCCAGAACAGAAAATCACTTTCATTAACTATATATTTTTTAAAGGTTTTACTCAGTTGTGCTTACATCTGCCCTGTTATTTCCGTAATAAAATCAGCAGCATTTTAAATATTCCAGGACACACTTTAACACTGAGTGTAAATGTATTCCCTGCAATGTAAACAAGTCTTAATGTATTTCTTCACTTGCTTCACTGGAAATGTCCAAGAAGGTTGTAAATTCTGTTCTCGTTTTTTACAGCCATTAGAGAATGAATCTCTGCATGATCATCCAAATTACAATGGACTCTACAGTACATTTCTAAGTTGTCATGTCATGATTGAAACACATATTTCAGATTAAACTAGTTTACTAAAACCCAGAAAAAGATACATGTTTGCTATCTGGTAAAGGACTTGGGCACTATTTCGAAGGATTGCATGGAGTTTCAGGAAACAATCCAAAGCTTCGTCTATTCTGTTTAACTTCTTATGTGTTAAACCTGAAAAATAAAGGTTACATTATTAATGCAATGAGAAAAAGATTACTTCAGCATACTAAATGACAGAATAACCAAGAAAAATGAAATAGGAACACCGTACTCAGAGGCAGTGTAACCGCCTTGACATTACCAACTCTATTCTTGAGAGTTGTGCTTATAATTCTTACCAGCTAGTATGATTTACCAAACTGATAAACACAAACCTAATCAAAAACCAAGGACATACGTAACCTCAGTTTTCGAACAAGATGAATGAGGCAAAGGCAGGGCTTTTAGAGGGGAATGACTCCGATGGTTTAATAATACTAAAACTGGTATATTTTTAGTAGATAGTAGAAATTTTTGATCTTCAAAGTGACATGATCATTTGCAATTACTAGTTGACGTTGTTAACCCTGCTATTTTTTTTGCAGAACAGATAAGAAGTACAAATTAATACTTTGCTATAAAATAAATTACTGAAAAATAATTTGTATATATTTATACACAAGAAATCTTTGAAAGCCAGATTCTCAGAAACACTAGTGTTACCTTCAGAAAAAAGCTAAACCACAAAAATCACCTTTGGCTTACCAAGATTATAAAGTGCTTCGGTGCATGAGGAATCATTCCTGAGAGCTTCCTTATAAAACTCAGCTGCTTTTTCATAGTCTCCGTTTGCAAAAACAGTATTCCCTTTGTTAGTTAGAGCTGCTGGATTGTACCTATCAGAATTTACAGCTAAATCTGCATAGTTAGTTGCTTGTGCCAATTCATTCTCCTACATGAACAAAACAAACATTGTATTAGTCATTTGTCAGTCAATTTTCTTGCAGCTGTGGCTTCTTACAGTTAATACAGTGGAATCTTGAAAAGTTCGAGGATGAAAAAAATAATATATTCTTTAGTCCTAAAATATTCCTTAGGTATTTGCATTAGGCAGATCACCACTTTTAAGTTTCAGAGAACTTAACACTTCATGTGTTTTGCCACTCTGTCCCATTCAGTCTGGAAGTTTTCTTTGCTGCAACAAAGCAGTACTTCTTTAAAAAACAAAAATAAATGCCCATACCCTACAAACTTCATGCACAAACACACCTGCCTAAGCTACATACTTCACATGTTCCTGAAGTTCAGCCAAGGTCTTTAGGACCTGAGTTTTAAACGCAGCTGCTGAGCTTCTGCACAAATCATACTGCAGGCATACTTCTGTGACCTGGGCTCAATCTCACTCCTCCTCCCAGCAACAGGATACAAAGGACATGATCCAAACTCCAACTACACTGAAGAATGGGTGTTCCAGAATAACTCTTCTAACACGTAGTTTCTCATAGTTTACAGAGATTTAGACAGACACACAATTCAAAATTAGAAAGATACAGAAGTTGTTACATAAACTGCAGTTCTTAACTGGTTTTGTTGAAGCAAACACTTACCAAATAATAAAGGAATGAAAGGTTTGTTGCAGCTGCACTCTTTACTCTGCTATCCTTTTTTTCAAACATTTTTAAAGTCTCCAGTGCCTAGAAATAATTTGGCAACATGTTACTTCCCAATGAAGCAAACTTATACCAAAATTCTTTCAGAAAGCATTGATAATTTTAGCTGTTACTGTGAAGTTTACCAATTCATATACTTACATACATGATAATGACCAGAGCTTGTAACACACACTTGTAAGCATGTACATCTATATTACACGTAATATTAATCTTGGTCACAAAATTTCAACAGTATTGGCTATTTATTACTTCTTCAAAATTTGGATTAGATTTGTCTACCTTGAAGTACAGAGGTATCTGACAATTCTATACATACAAAATGCAAGTTCATATAATTTGCTTTTAATCTACTCAACTAATTAAAATTCTCATACCTATTTTGCCAGTTCCTTAAGTCAACACAAAAGGATTGACATTAAAACTCTTATTAAAAAGCTAAAAAAGTACACACTACATTAAAAAATATGCAAGACAGTGTCGGATTAGATTTCAACTAGCAGTTGTTTTGTGTAATAAGACGACGACACCTGTCTAAATTTAGGAAGTACTCAAACGTGAAGACTGAGGCCGTAACATTTTTTTTTTAATCTTTTACATAAAACCTAAATTTCATAAACTTCAAAACAAAGAAGTTTATAGACAGAAAGTAAACAAATTTATAGCTAATAAACTATCAAAGAAACTTTGAAATAGAAGACAGTTTTTTTTTTCATTGCCTATGTGATAACATTTGTAACTGCAGACTAAATTATTAAGAAAATCTGGCTTCTTTACACTAAATATTTATATTAACTACACAACTGTGTGAATATCACAGTGAGCCCAATTCTGTCATCTGTTACAACACAGATGTGGCAACCTCAATTTAGCCATCAACATTAGCAATTCAAGTGTTTCCTTCTTCCTTTACATGAAACCTGTAAGCTGCTGTTTACATATTAAAGTGAATGCATGATAGTGTATGTGGTATGCCAAAACAAACATAAAGGAAACAAGTTTTAATTGACTGTCATACATACTGTTTTTACAGTTATTTTACACAAAAGACATGACTGTACTAATGACGCGTAAAATGACAAAGTATATACAGCTAGATGTAGTTCCTTGGTTTAGCCCAAGAACTATGAACTACCAAAGATCATACTATTCTCCTAATAACAGAAAATTCTCTAAAGAAATACACCAATTTCAATCAAGAAAAGCATTGCAAAAGTTAGGCTCTAGATTTTGTGGTCTCTGAAATGCAAGACTTAAAACAACGATAATTTTAAACTTGTACATATAATTTGTGGCTTTCCCCAAAAAGGGAATGGTCCCAAATATTTACAGATATAACATTACTATATCTGAGGTACTCTACGCTTAAGCAAAGACTTGCTGCTTTGAGTAAAAGCTGTGCATTTCTTACAAAGGAATTAATTTTCAGTGAACTTAGAGCTATATAGTTCTAAGCCACTTTCTGAAAAGCCGTTTCATATTGTAACCAATTTGTTTACCTTTGCTTTTACTGCTAAATGGCACCTTTGATGATAAAGATTAGAGTGGAAGTAATCTCTTTTTCATGTATAATGGCAAGTTCATATGAGACTGAATTTTATGCACTTCCTGATAAATTATGTCTCAGGTCTCTCAAACCATTTCAGCAATTATGATCCCTGGAACAAAAATCTTGGTCTGCCAGAGATGTTAAGGACTTGCACAACTAAGCTACCAAATTTTGTTTTTAAATTGATTTTCAAAGTCCTTCTTTGAAATTAAGAAAACATTCAGAATATCTAATAAATAAAACCCCTTACTAATAAAATAAAATCTACACATATTATGGTAATTTCCATCCTGAATTTATTTTACTTATTTTTGATAGGACTGTTTTAAAGTAACATATTCATTATGATGAGCACATAGTTAAGCCCATTACAGTCAGAGCAGAAATCTATTTTAGTTGGGCTTTTTTTTGTTTGAAACAATAAAACTTTCAGCCTTGAAACTGAATATTTCACAAAGTTTCCATTCTTGTTCTTCAGCCAAAGGTGTGTTGAGCAGGTGGTGAGTTAGTAAGTATATGAACAACAGACAGACAGGATGAATATAAGTGGCAGCTGCAGTTTTATTACAACAACAACAAAAAAAAAGACTCTCTGCAACCACCATTCTGCAGCCCCACTCTACTATTAAGTAGTTCCAGTGGAGGTTAAAGGTATTCTATCACATAATCAAAATAAAAAGAGCATCTTCTCGACTTACTCCTAACTTCCAGCACCCTTCCCTCTCCCTCCATTGGAGTACTCCACAGAAACATCACCAACAATCTCTGTATCACATTTTATCTCTGAGAATTGTTTGTGGGTTTTTTTAACCTATACTGCATACTAACTGGAAATCACAAAAAATTACTATCAAAATAGTAAATTTTTGAGATCATATGACTGTTTCCCTACCTGTAACACTCTCACCCTCCACAAGCTATCATCAATAAAGCTACTAGATTTGCCCAAAATTTTCCAAACTCTCAGCTGCTTCCTGATCTCAGAAAAGCTATCAGTCAGACATGCAGTATAACAAAGGATAACTCTCTTGCTGTATCTACAGCGAAGGAGAAGAGGACAGGACAGACAGGAGGAGCAAGAGCTGCTCAGGAAACCAGAAGAGCTTAAATATGAGAAGGAAAAGTAGGCTAAAGTTAAGCATGTGTCCCTGTGTGTAACCCTCCAAGGTGAAGGGCCTTAGAAGATGACAGAGGTATTCAGCTTCACCTGTAATTTTGCTACATATGACCGCTCATACTTCTTGCCACTTGTGCGAACCCAGAGGTTGCTATATTCACAGAATCACAGAATGGTAGGGGTTGGAAGGGACCTCAAAATCATCTGGTCCAACCCCCCTCACCAAGGCAGGATCACATAGGGCAGGTTGCACAGGAACGGATCCAGTTGGGTTTTGAAGGTCTCCAGAGAAGGGAGACTCCACAACCTCTCTGGGCAGCCTGTTCCAGTGCTCTGTCACCCTCACAGTAAAGAAGTTTTTCTTCATGTTGAGGTGGAACTTCCTGTGCTGCAGTTTATGCCCTTTGCCCCTCGTCCCATCACTGGGCACTACTGAAAAGACTGGCTCCATCCTCCTGACAGTCACCTTTATATAGACATTGATAAGGTCCCCTCTCAGCCTTCTCTTCTCCAGACTAAACAGCCCCAGTTCTCTCAGCCTTTTCTCATATGAGAGATGTTCCAGTCCCTTAATCCTCCTTGTAGCCCTCCGCTGGACTCTCTCCAGAAGTTCCCTGTCTCTCTTGAACTGGGGAGCCCAGAACTGGACACAATACTCCAGATGAGGCCTCACCAGCACAGAGTAGAGGGATATTCCTTCATATTTACTCAGCATTCCTATCATTGAATGTACTCAATAGTATATGTTAGAAGGAAATTGAGCAAATCCTGTCAGAATATCCAAGTTTCTTTTTGTTCAGATGAAGCTGTTTTCCAACTGCTCACATTTCAAACCAAGCCTTTTTTTCACAGGCAAAGAAAAGATCACATGACAATTTTGATGAAAACCTAGTATTATAAGTTATCCCACAATCTATAAGAAAATTGATTAAGAGGGAAAAAAATGCATTTTTCTTAAAATAAAACATTATCAACCAAGCTGCACACTCGCTTAGATAATACCAAAAACTTAAGCATGGTAAGTTGCAGTATTAATTTATACACCCACATTGGCAATTTATATGCATAGAAAAGGAAAGCTGCATTAACAGCCTGCAGTACTTATTAGCAAGAGATTAGGGATATTGTTACCAACGAAGGCAGTTCAGCATAAAATTAATTGGCAGAAATTTGTCTAACTAGTGATTGGATAGCCAGTTGCAGAAAGAGTTCCTACCTACATAAACACACATAAATAATTTCAACATAGCCAAAAGTTACTTCACAAGTATATTTAAATATATAACAATACAATGAAAAAGGAACATGTAATAATATGCATGATAAAAACTTTAAATTACAAAGATTTTGGTAGATCTATCTTCTGAACTTCTGCCAGTTAATGAATTTTGAGCAATGAGCTATATTTTTACTTGGAAGTACCAACACTGTAACTTCGCTATGACCTTCCTCCTTTGGTAAGATACACTATGGCTTAAACCGCTGTAGTATCTTTTCAGTAATGGTGATTCATCCTAGCCCTCTGTGCCCTCCAGGGGAGCAATCTTTTATAAGACGCAGAACTGTCCAAGCTCAATAGCAGATGCTTAATTTAATTCCAGTTTGTATTTCAATGGAAGGATAGGAGGGCTGACTGAAGTTCAAGGTCAGATTGTAGTATTTTAGGGAATTCTCACACAGGGAACAGTGAGAATACCATAACATAAACAATAATCATACATATGGAGTGCATCTGCATATATTTTGGTGTTATAGTCAACCTGAGAGAAAGATTCAGTTCATACTAATGAAAACACCTCCACATTGGTTAGCAACATGCTTTCTAGGCTCTATTGACTGTACTGACCACAGTCCCATTAACAGTAATGACAGCCTGGACACTCAGTGAAGATAACTAAACTTAGGTGTCTTAATTTTGACATGAACTGCATCCACTGTAACTTCTGTGGCAGAAATTTCATTTAGAGAAAATAATCTCTTATCAGTGTTTTCATTAAGTTATTTTACTGAACAGCATCAATATAATGATATTTGCATAAATCATTCTTTCCCTTGCTAAAAAAAACATGCTGTGGCTAAGAAAGATATCATTGACAATACCGCATTAAAAAGTAGTAATGTGAAAAGTTACTATACCTGGTTAAAATCCTGCTGCCTCAAGTAAGTAGTGGCTTTATTTATTTCCAGGTCATTGGCTAACTCTACATAGTGGGAAGCTTTTACTACTTCAACACACCTGCAACAGAAAGCCAGCCATAGAGATAATCAAAATGCATCTGTGCAAATGCTACTAAGTTATATATTTTCGCAGCGAATTTGTTTTCCAAAATGAGTTGTTCTTAGCTATTCTTACCTTACAGAGGCAAAGAGCATTTAAAATATTTGAAAAAACATTTTATTCTCATAACCTACCTTAATACTCTCTCTGCTCTCTTTTTCAGTCAGCTGCCTAAATATCATGTTATTTTCCATCACTGAGTGACAGCTTATTGCAGATATTGACTACGATCATTTTTCAAACCATTTTCTTTGGATACATTCTGTCAGCTGATTTTTCAAACTTGAAACGTTATCCAGTTTTCAACTGTTACTGTTAACAACTTTTAACCATAAAATGCAATGAGATCTAACTATCCAACTGTTCCTTATGGAATGTGACAGAATAGTCCCAAGATTATGTCACATTTTGAGTAAGAAGTTATGAAATCTGAAGATTATTCGTTCCCACTTTATTCTTGTAAATAAAATTAATCTGATTAAAAGCACATTTAATACTCAGAGAACTCATAACAAAGTGTACTATTTGGAAAACCAAGCTCAAACTGCTGGTTAAACTTCTTCACTGGGCTTGAATACCTCAGCCTAGAAGAATAGAGACAAAATCTGTCCTGATACACACAAAACAATCCCATACATCTCACCAGAAGTTCTTTAATTAGCCAGAACAGACATAAAAGTGTTTTTCTTCATGACAAGTATTTTGTGGATAGCACTAAGGAAACAGAGTATCTGACAATCTTTGCCAGTTTTCTGAACAAAAAACAAGATACAGAGCAAACAGATCTGACTTATTCATGCTAGCAATTCATAAAGCAGCAAGATAATTTTCACAAGACATACTGCTTCAGTTCTGATAAGTCAGAAAGGCAAAAGCAGCGAAGTTATAAGATTATAATAATTATTAAACCATCAAACATCCCCTTGTGGACTGTAGCAGACTAAACATGTCTGTGTGAGAGATTATTTCATGTTAATGAAATACATAAAGAGCTTTATTAGTAAGTTACACCTAGAGGGCCTGCAAAACTTGAAAATAATCCTAACTGGCCAAAAAAAAAAAAACCTCAACAGGTAAAGGAAAGTTCTCTTTTCCCATCAAGCTTCCTTCACTTCCCAAACATTGAACATACCTGTTAGTAATGCTGTAGCTGCAGAAACACAACATTAATTTGTGTACGTTATTTTACAATAATGTTACTAAAAATATCAAAGTAAGCCTGTGCAACAGAAAACTAAAAACTAGTTTAAAATACATTTTGAAAAGTTGTATTTATCATTTTTATACTGTCCTTATAGGAAGTGTGTCTATTTTATTTTGTTTTAAAGAGAAGAGAATTCTGCTGTAGAAAATACCACAGAAAGCAAAAGCTAAGCTGTAAATTGAAAAATAAAGTGGATATGAAAGTTAAAATGGTAAATGGTATCAGCAGCCTATCACTGTATACATACATTTGTATAAATGTTTAAGAAACAGTAGATTAAGTTTACATTTATAAATACTTTTAAGTATATACTTTTAATTATAAGTTTATAAATGAAATGCAAATAAACCTTTCTAATAATATTTAGATTCCAGTGTTTTATATGATGACCTCATGAAGTAATGAAAACTTCTTCAGCACCCCACATCTTCATTATGCTATCTTCAAACTTACAGTAAAGAGTAGCAATCACTGCCTTCTGTACAGCATTTGTCTATCAAGATTTTTAAAAGTTTTTGAATTTTCAAATTGAATTTTCAATTCCAATGAAATTTAAGCAGCTCTTTTTGTGCTAATACAGAAGAGTTCAAAATGTATAATTAATAGTTGAGGTTCAATGATACAACAAAATTAATTTTTAGCACAGAATAGCACTAATAGCTTTGTTTTGTTCTTCTACAGCACATTATGCGGGCAAACTGAAAATAGCCTGGATGCTCTGCCCGAGATGTGCAACAAACTGTTTCCCAGACTGTTTATATTTGTGAATCTGGTTTCATACCGAGCATGAGATTGGCATTATAGGCTAGACAAAGTGAAGACCCACTTGACTCTTACCAGTCATAGCCCACTGCAAAAGATGTCTCAATTACTGGTGCAATGAGTTTAGCAGCTGTCATGATGTATTCCTCTGCCATGGATTTCCTAAGAAAAAACAAACAAACAAAACCACAACACAAAACACAACACATAAACATGCCACCATTTCAAAAACATGTACACAAAAAAATAACCAAATTTTGTTCTTGCTTCTTCCTACACTGAGGACAATCTTAGGAGTCAACCTAACCAGGCCCCTGCTACTGTCTTGTACTTTGATAAAGCTCTCAGTTTTTTCTGTTTTCCTTTCACTGCACAGTGTAGTTGTATTTTTTAAAAAACCTAGTGATGCAAGTTTTAAGTGGAGTATTCTATAGCATTTGAGGTAGATAGTCTACTTCAGTGCAGTACCCTAAATTGAGTGATCCAACCGGTTCTTTCATGTGTGTTCTTTCCTAAGAATTATGAGGACACTTTTATAACAGGAGCTGTGGACATGTGAGAAGACTGATAATACTTTCAGGAGCTAAAACCCATGGCACCACAGTCAAGAAAGAACAGACTCCAGCATTACCTCTCACGTTCTATTTGTCTTAAGCTGTCATTTTTAATGGCTTCAATCAATAGATTTGTATGTGGATCATCCTGTAGGGGGACAAAACAACTGCAAATTATGCAAGTATACATGCATTTTAATTATTTTATAGACAATATGAGTGTAAACGTAAATTGATGCAAAGTTATGTCAGTTATTTACTTTTCACATTTCAAAAAGCTAGTTTCAGTTTAGTTTTCTAACCACAAAATTTGAAATTTGGCATTACAACTACTTTAATCCTGTTTTTCTGCTCTCATAGGTGTAGTTTATATATATTAGACTGGGAAGGTTACAAATCACAGTGAGAATACTCACATGCTTAAAAATAAAAGCATGCTCGAGCATTTGCTGAACTGCAGTGGTACTCAGCAGATGAGGACTTGTGCTACCTTCTCATTACAGTAACTCACATGATCATCTTGTGGTTTCTATCACACATCTCTCTCAGTTCTAAAAGAACTATTGCAGGTATGATGGGTAGCCACCCTTTCCTCATTTATTGGGGATAGATCATAGGTTTATACAAAATAAAGACCAGAAGGAAACTTCGTGATCTTTTCTCTGACCTCTTCATAACAAAATACAGACCTTGGAATGCCTGTTAAAACTACAGCTTGCCTACCCTTAGACAGAACTGCTACAGTCTACAGCTTTTCTTCTAATGAATTATCTTACATAGTCTTCAATTAATTCAAGTGTTTAATGACCCTTACTGTTACATAGTTTCCAATATGAGAAATTATATATCTTTTTATATATAATTGTTATAGATGTAAGAAATTATATACATATTAATGAGTAAATATAAATATACACTTCATATATTAAATTTTATTTGCTTATGCTAGGACAATAGAAAGCAACAGCTACTCTTAAGCTGCAAATAGTTGGAAAACTAATTATACCTTTGAACTTTAGGACTGAAGAGAAAAGCCTTTTATCACTGAAAAAAAAAGACTGCTAAGAGAATATAAAGGGCTTGCCTTGATCTTTCTGTAGAGGACCTTTCTAAGAGGCACCCTAAACCTATTAATTACTTTCTCCTCCTGTCTTTAACATCATGAGCTGCTGGTTTCATGGTACAAAGGAAGTCCAGTTTCCAACGAAAGCTAATAAACTAAAATAAGCATATGTAAACTTGACTAAAATTTTCTTTTGTAAAATAACACCACAGTATTACAAGTTTTATTAGCACCCGTTTGAGATAACTTGCATTAACTTACTCATTGCTTTGCTCCTTTTATTTTAGCTTATAAATATTTTAATAAAATTTTTATATAAAAGGAGGCAAAGCAGTAAGTCATCTGTGTAAGTCAGCCCAGATGAATTTCAACAAAATCGTTATGAAGACAATCATGTGTTGTGGATTTTATGTACATCATATCTTTTGAGGAAAAAAAGGATTTGAACGTTCTCAACATTATTTCACACTTCTGAGCAGTACTGCCACACTAAGTTCTTGCTGGTAATACGAAAGTTATTTTAGACACATATACATGTTCAATTACATATTCAGTATAGCCCAGGCATTCAACGTCTCTCCCCCTTTTTCCTGATTTACCATATAAAGACACAGTTTATTTTGTTCAAACTTACATTTGATGAAATGTATTTGTCATCATAATCCACTTCCAAGGGAACTGCAATCAGTTTTTGGAAGGCTTTTTTCATTTGCTCACTGTTTCCAATAGCAAAATAACATAGGATCAAGTTGAAGCCTGCCTTCAGGTTTGGGGACATGCTCATTATATGTTCAAATGAAGAAATAGCATCAGCATATTGGCCAGTTTTAATAAATGCAACTCCAATATTTTGCATTATTTTAATCCTAAGGAAAGAAATCAGGATTAGGTTACATTTTTAACTATCAAATCATACTGTATCCAAAACCTTTATGTCAGAACTATGCCTAGTAGCAGAAACTCACCTCATCTCTTTGTGGACACTAGGAATCTGGTCTAGAGCCATACGGTACAATTTGATAGCTTTGGAATAGTTGCGTTGTTTTAAATAGATATTTCCCATATTCACCTTCAGTCTACCTATTAAAAGATGTCAGTGAGTTACAGCCTTTTAAAGCAGTTACAGCATTTTTAGATTGTTTCAGACTAACAGAGTAGAACAAGTTCTTAATAATTTTGTCTTCATTATAGGGTAGCAGTGGCCTTTTAAAGAAGCACTGCACAGAACAGCCTTCTGTGAATTTTGACGCAGAAGGAGATGAAGTAGTAACGAAACCTAGAAAAGAACTATCAGTGTAAGATGTATTCTGATTTTGATTTGATTTTTGTTGTGAAATTAGGTAGAGGTAGAGAAGTAGACATTAGTTACAGTGCTCTTCAGGAAGACAGCTGCAAATAAGCATCTCTCAGAAAAGTGTACTGTAGGAGTCTCAAAGATGTGCCAAAATACTAGAGAAGCTTTCAGAAGGGTCAAAAAAGAGAAAAAATTAGTATTGAAGCATACAACATAGTGTGTACTGCATGAGAAAATGCTGTATTTGGCTTTATGTTTAGCTTATCCAGAAAAGACTTCATGAGTTAGAGCGCCAAACCACATTGTTATACCAAGTCAGAGATTGTGAGTATCTGTCATCCGCTCTGACAGACAGACATGAGGGCTGAGATCTCTGTGAATCAATGCGATGCCGATCAAGTCTCTATTTTGAATGCCTGATTACCAATTTTAATCCATTTTGGATTAAAATGTACCCTACCTCCATTGCTGAACATCTTATTCTTCACTATAACTTGGTAAGTATTCAATGCTTCAGTGTACATTTCATTAGCAGCGTACTGACTGGCCAGATTGAAAAGAACCTATAGAAAAATGGAATTATAGGTAGAAGAAAATAATGTTCTCTCAACAGTAACAAACTTGAATTCATAATAGGTCATTTCAAATTAATTTACCTTGGAAGTATTGCTTTTACCAGTTTTAAGCTTCCCAGCTTTAACGTTCCTTTGTTCTTGCACATCGACAGAGAAAACAAGTTTCAAATCTACTTATTCTAGGTAATTTTTTTATTTTTGTACTTAAGTAACTACCATTAAAAGTCATGCTAAGTGGGCCTTAGACCTAAGCAAACACAATGTTATAACACAAGAGTACTACAAAACATTGATACAAGGTAATTCTTAGAAACTGTGTGTAATTTAGGACTTCCAACATGTGGAAAATGGTCCTACTACCTGTGGTCACTCCGTTTCTGAAGAGAGAATTTTTCCAAAATGCTTTTTCAAAACAGAAGTTGTGTTGATGCCAGGTTAAGCATCTCCACATTTTTTCTTCAGCTTTACTCTGACATTCACCGCAAAATAAATTACTAGGTCTGCCTAACTCAGTATATTCATTGTTAATAATTTTCTCTACAGCACTACCAGGAGTACAACTTTAAACACCTTTTAAGTATTTTTATTTATGTTGTATCTCTTTTTTAAAAAAAAAAAAAAATTGAAAACCAGAATGTAAGTCTAGATACTTGCTTTAAGAGTCAGGATTTAGGAATATTAATATATCCTATTTCATGTAATATATTCTCTTTCACTTTATGGTTCAAGTTAAAGGCAATGTCTGATCTCTCCTGTTTTCTTTTCTTGGCACATTACATTTTCTAGACTATTTATTTTTGAAGTACACGGTTTACATCTGTTATATTTTGATATGCATGTTTTGTATGTAAGTAGGTAGCTGGAATAGACACTCATGGGCATCCTTCTTCACTTAATGTTGGCTGTGTGGTTTCTCTGGTACTTGGAAGTCACAAGGGAACAGACTCGACGATATAAATGGATCTTTGCAATCCAACATTAATTTTTTAACTTCAAGAAGTCAGTCACTTTATCTTCATAAACTGCCCTCACCCCCAAATGTAGATGACATCTGACCTGGTACACAACTAGAAGCATTGTAATGCACACACTCTCAACAACACTGAAATAAACTCTTTAAGAGGTTTGCTACCAATGCCTTTGACTCATTGAAGATTCCTAAGCACTTACTGAGTAAGTAAGGTCTAAGTTGATATTTTCTGAAGTAGCAATTTGTTCGCGTTGTCTCACCAATACTCGTTCCTTTCTTCCAGCCTCTTTTGCTTTTTCCAGAGCCTGAAATAAAATAATAGAATTTGGAAATGCCTTGAATCTTACTAACTCAAGATGGCAAAAATACATTCAAGATGAGTATGAAATGAAAATGAAAAGAATATACTCATGTCCATTTTCTTTAGATGCACAGACTGTACCCAATGCTGTGTAATTTTAGAGAAGTATAGTCACACACACATATATACACCACAACCACTTATGACCCTAGAAGATTATTCTATGGGTATTAATCATAGCAAGCGCACATCAATGTTTAAAAAAAAAAAAGAATGGGGAAAAGAAAAAAGAGGGCATGATTAGGCTAGGCATAGTCGCAGAATCCCAGTGCAGGAAAGTGTTGGAAGGAAGTGAAGGCAGGAAGTAAATGCACGTGTTACACAAATGTATGCTGTACATACACCTTGACTAATTCTGGATGCTGGCAAATTGCTTCCCTTTTTTACCTATCCACAAGTGATATTTCACATGTACATTCACAGTTCAAGTAACTCCAAAACCACTGTTTCATCCAATGACAACCTTCTGCAGATTGGCGTCAAGACCCTTCACGCAAGTAATCCTACAGGTCTACAAGTGCCATTAGCAGTCGGTTACATTAGCATACAGCCTCTGCAAGAGCGCAGAGGTTAAAAAAAATAATGACTAGCACTGAAGGAAGCACCACTATTTGGCAGCTAGCAGTGAAGGAAGTACTTCTCAAGATATTGCTTGATTTTGATTCTTAGTCCTTATGATAGAAGGCAAATCCAACTTGGCTGTTTTACAGATAATGAGTTGGCAACTTTGATGACTTCTACAGGAAAACAGGTATTGTGCTGGACTTGTCAGAAACTAACACAAAAATCCTAGAGGACCCTCAGAAGAGTCTGGTATAGTCTACAGAAGAAACCACCCTTTGACATCAAGAAACAAAGAACATTCTTGGCCATATATGCAAGAGGGTCAAGAAAGATCAACAAAACAGGCTGGCCCATCTCCTAGTGAAGGTGAAGTTCAGACATTATATCAGAAATAAATTAGGATAGGTCTGTAAGGACACATCCTAAATGAACATAATAAATGGATAGATTTCTTTAATACTCTCTGATCAGAAGCTGGCAGCAGCAGGGAAAAAAATGCTTTTATTAAAAAAGTGCAACATAAGAGGGTCTTTGTTGGGAGGGTTGAACTAGATGACCTTTAAAGGTCCCTTCCAACCCAAACAACCTATATTCCAGTCTAAATGCCAGACTTAAGTCCCACTTTAGGACTCAGAGTCATTGTCAGAAGCCTTCTTGTTAACTCCCCAAGGAAGTAAACTCCCTACAGTGTGGACTGCTAAGCAAAATCCCGCTCTCCAAAGGAGCTATCAGGCTATTAGCTCAACAGATAATCCAAAAAAACTACTGGAAACGAGTATGACTGAGGTAGACCAGGATTCCAGAGATGGCTGTCCTAGCAGGCACAGGCATAAAGGCAGTCCTCCCACAATACAGTATCATCCTTATATCAGAACTGTCTAGGCTGACCTACCACAATGAAGATGATCAATGTTTGATCTTCCCTTAATTTGATCAGGATCACTGGAATTGCTGCACCAACTGAAGAAAGGCATATACGAGGCTTTTTAACCAGAGAAACAAGAATGCATTCAGAGAGCTGGAACAGCTTTTTTCTCAAAACCAGGTGATACAATACTTCTTTGTAATAGGCAAAAAGATATGGGATGTCACCCATCCTGACAGTCCTCAAGACAACTGAAATCTTCCATTCTTAGTATAATAGGGTAAATGTCCTATCCTGTGTTTGCAAATATGCACACTACATGCGACTATGTAATATCATTGACAAGAGAAGTACACTCGTGCTGTACTAGTTCCAAAGGTAAACTGCTGTCTTAAAGAGTGGAGAAAACCTCAAACCAAATATGCTTCTTAACGAAACGCTGGATATTTCTCTACAAACTAAGGGCAGCTCCTGCCACTGTAACATGGAATCTCTCACCTACAGGAAGCCTGAAACATGCAAATAAAGAAATCTGCCAAATACAGATAAGACTGT